AATTGGAGATTGAGGAATTGGAGATTCGCTTGTGATAAGTCTTCTTCCTAGTATTTTTAATTCCACACCTTTAGTTAGTTTCTCACAATTAGTGACAATTAGGACCTTTAAAAAAATTCGTCGACGATAATAAAATTCACCCTTCACTTTGACATTTACTTATAAGATAAAAAATTCAAACAAATTCCCCCCTTCTCATTTGTTTGATTATTAACCCTAATTAAAAAATTATCATCCTTTTTAGTCACTTTTAATTCCTAGGGTTGCATTTCATATAGTTAGTAGGAATTCACCAAAGTGATTTGAGCATCTTGATTTGGCACATACTTGAAAATATTCTTAAGGGCAAAACACCCTAATCAAGATAAGGTGAGGGATTTCATCACCCTTTCCTTAGCCCAAAAATTACTAATTCCTCACTACATAACCCAAGCCTAATAAAAGTCATTAGATGTTGGCCCTAAGGAATCGAGCTCAATAAGAAACAAAGAATCTTTAGGTGAACCAATTTATGTTTTCTTGGATTAGTTGGTGTCTAAGGCAAGGTTTAAGGATTGTGTAAAGTGCTCTGCAAGGAACAAGATATTTAATCGATCTCTGATAAACCTCTGTTCCTACCCTTACCTCCCAATTAACCGAGTAAAACTTTTATCTTTTTACATAAGGAATTTTTGGTTAGGAGCTGGTCTAGTTGAGTTAGGCTTAACCCTAGAGTTATAGTAATTGCAAAGTGATTGTTTTTGATTTGTTTTAGTTAGGTTTTTTCTTTTTCTTCTCATAAAAAAACTAACTTTTGTTTTGTCTTAAAAAATGGTATAAAAAGAAATTGTTTTGGGTGCATGCAAAACATGGATTAGGGACAATAAACATCGAAAAATTCGTTTTGAACAAATTAAAGAAATGGCTAATCCACATGTTCTCTAAGATTTATGTTATCCCAAGAGGATTAAAATCCCCAATGAAGCTCGGGAATTTGTAGAGAGTCCATCTCAATATTCGGTGAATGATCTATTTTTTCCAACCTACAACCTAGGTTGGGCAAAGTACCCAAACATTACATGGAATTAGGGAAACCACTCCGAAACTTAAAACTTCACTCCCTCTTTGATCCAACATTTTCCTAGAGGAAACACGGTTCCTTTCAATTCTCATCTATAATTTCAACAACCCAATCTGTCACATCAAAATCAGTCTCCTCATCGTCAAGTTGTAACTCACACTCCTCTTGATACAGATCATGATGAACGTCTCAATATTTTGGAAAAAAGTTTTAAAATCATAATTAAGGCCTCCACACTAGCCACAGATATGTTAACTCAAACATTCTACACGATGAACTCCTTTATGCAATCAACCGAACTCATACTTAACTCTAACACTCAAGCCATAGCTAGATTAGAAACCCACATTGATCAACTATCTAGTGCCATAAGTAAAGGAGAGGAAGGAGAAATTTTGAGTCAACTTGTGGTCAATCCTAAGGACACTCAAATGGATGCACTACAGTTAGGAAAACAGGTCGATAATTAGGAAAGAACGCCTTTAAGCCAAATTCTTGTTCCAATTCAGTCTCCTTCTGATAACTCAATTCAGAAAAGACTAGAGGAAGAAGAAGAAGAGTCAGATCCAAGTTTTGAGGAAATTTTCGGTGAGGAGCTGAAAATATTAGGAGAAGCAGATCAGGTTTGTCAAAATAAAGAAACTGTGTTAAATAATTGCTGCTTTGAACTGAATTTTGAAAAACTCTTTCTTGATGAACTAAAATTTTTGGAAAATAAACAACAAACAAATTTTTACACCTCAGCCCTGAATCTTAGGGTTGAGGAAAGTGTTAAAGAAAAATTGGTTGTTAGAAAACAAACATTCATAAATCAAGAATCTAAGTTCAAAACATATGACACCAATAATACCTACCTTCCATTGCCACAAGAATTATTGAACACCCTGATATGCTTGGAATTTCAGCACAATGTTGATTATATCATTTTGAATTATTTAAAATCCGGAGAAGAATTTTTAGTAATAAAGTAGGATTCAATGTAGAACACGAGCTCTTCATGTTGAATATTTCATTCTATATTGTTTATTTTGTTAATTTTAGCATAATAAAATCTTCTCTCATTTTAGAGTTTCTTGTTCAGTTTTGTAAAAAAGAAATAAAAAAAAATTGAAAAAAAAGAAAGAAAAAAAATTTGGAAAAAAAAAGAAAAGAAATATATATATATATAAATAAATTAATGATTTCATCCTCCATAGAACCAAAGATAATTGCAGATTTCATCAGCCGATTAATTGTTAGTACTTCACATCTTATCTGCTTTACTTTGTGCATTGAGGACAATGCAAAATTTAGGTGTGGGGTGGGAATTAGCTATTTTTTCCTCTTTATTTTACCTTTGTAGTTGTATTTTTTATTTCTTTTTATTTCTTAAAAAAAATTATTATAAAAATATTGTCACTTGCAAAATTGATAGAGTTAACTAATAATTGATTTATTTGATAAATTTAAAATTTTCTAATCCCTAGTTGGTTATTTACTTAAGTTCACCTTATTTGATAAATTTAAAATTTTCTAATCCCTAGTTGGTTATTTACTTAAGTTCACCTTTTATGATAACTCTAAATAAATTTCTTAAGAAATGATTTTCAAAGTAGTATACTTTACTTAAGCCTTAACTTAGACTTTTATTTAAAATAATAAAGTTTTTGCATGCTTAGCTTAGAGTTAAAAATAAATTTTCAAAGTGTCTTGATTTACATATTTTTCAGAATATATATACATATATAATAAAAAAATAGCATTACAAAAGAAGAGTGCGAAAAATGGGCACAAAAAAAACTCTTGAAAGGTGATTATATCTTATAAAGCCTAAGCTGACCGAGTAATTAAGCCCAAAGAGTATTTCCATACTTAATGACCTAAGCTCAATTAGGTTTGGATTCATTGGCCCAAAACTCGTTAATGGTCACTTAGAAAGCCCGTTAATGTAGAAAAATATCACCAAGGAAGAAAGAGTTTAAAAAAAATTATATATATATATAGTATATATGGCCTTGAAAAATATTTCTGATCAAGCAACTTGAATATTATTTTAAACAAGGCCTTGAAAAATATTTCTGATCAAGCAACTTGAATATTATTTTAAACAAAGAGTTAGCATGTTCTTTTTAAAACTTTTAAATTAAATTTTTAAACAAAGAGTTAGCATGTTCTTTTTAAAACTTTTAAATTAAATTTCTAAGTTTGGCTTGGTTTTATATTACAATAATGAGAAGATTTTCTAGGAAATTCACTTTGGAGTTTTATATAAAAACGTTTTCTTGAAGTAATAACTAGCTTCAATTACATTGTCTAATTTTATCAAGTAATTTTAATTATTTACTGACATCTTTAAATTGGCAAGTTGACCAAACTTTGTGGGTATTTTCACTGCAAACCCTCACGAGACTACAACTCTTCCACTAGGGTAACCTAGGGGTTTAAAGGCTTGTTGTATGCACTAAATACAACTGCAATTCCTACGAAAGTGAGTTAGATTTCCTTTCCTCTTTTTTTTGTTTGCTAGAGGACTAGCAAAAGTTTAGGTGTGGGGATATTTGATAATTATATTTTATTATAATTTTATACCCTCATTATCTATTTTTTATAAATAAATATGCCATTAATAATTGTTTTTATCTTTAATTGCATGTTAATGACGAATAAAGCCCAAGATCTCTTCTCTTAACAAAAACCCATGAATTAAATGAAGAACACAAGCAAGAGACAAAAAACCCAAGCCCAGAATCAAGCCGAGTAGCCTGTAGAAGCCAGAGAAAATAAAAAAATCAAATATGAAAAAAAATGTATTCAAGATAGTTGGCCGTAAAGAAACGACGATATCTCTCAATCCAGAAGGAGGAATTTAACATATAGTATATGAAAATTACCTATTTCGACGAGACGAAGCCATCCGTATGGGCAGAAATTTGATGTGGGCATCATTGCATGCATCGTTGCTGACATCGATACTGACAGTTCTGTTAAGAATTAAGGGATGATTTTTGATGGTTTTAGATAAGATTTCAATCCAAGGGCTCATATTCATTAATGTTTACTATAAATAGGAGTAGAGAGTGAGGAGTTGAGGGTGTGAAAATTTTTGTAACTCCATTTGGAGAGGAGGGTTACTCTTACTTGAGAAGACCTTCTAAATTTATAACTTTTGTTACAATTAATAAAATAACTTTTTCACCACTTTAAATATTTTTTCTCTTTGTTGGATGATGAAGATGGAGATGGAGAATTATTTGAAGGTTTGCATTTCTTTTATTTTACTCTTTTATTTCTTTTTTATTGCTTGTTAGTTTAGATTTATTTCTATGCTTGTAGTTAGATTTTATTTTCTTGTTAAATAGCCATTTTATTGCTTGTTAGTTTAGATTTATTTCTATGCTTGTAGTTAGATTTTATTTTCTTGTTAAATAGCCAAGAGGCTAGAACCCTCTTGCCTTAGATTTATTTTATGCTTATAGGTTAGATTTATTTTCTTACATTTAATTCTTATGATTTATTTTATAGTTTAGATTTTGTAATTTATTTTGTAGTTAGATTTTAATTTCTTGTACTATTCAACTTGATGCTAGAACCCTCTTGGGTTTAGTTTTTCTTTTTGTTTATTTTTATTTTCTTTGATTTGCCTTTAGGCTAGAACCCTCTAGGAAATCACCCTTTCCTAAGAAGTGTGTTCAATTTTAAATTACCCATATCTTTAATTGAATCCTCCATCTTTACTTTCTTAAATTTTCTTTTTATTCCTGATTTTTTTTTATTCTTGATTTTATTCATCTTTTTTTCTCTCCTTGTTGAAATCATTTATTCTTTGTCATATCCACTCTCACTTACATTTTTTGCTGATTTACGCATTATCACTTTCACTCTCTCTATCTCTTAACAATCACACTTATTCTTCACTCCTATTTGTCACGCACACAACATAAGAACCAATTTTAATTTTCTCCTACAAAACACCTTCCTCGTGGGATCGATAACTTTTTATACTATAACTTGACACGGTTGTGCACTTGCAACATTTTTGGTACATGTTTGTGCCGCATCAGATAGTAAGGCCATAATGCGCTCATATGGAGACGATGGTAACCCTACAAATAATCATGCAGAAGAATAAGAAACTTAAGAACATTATGGGGAAACTCAGAGCACGTTATGAACTCACCAGCACCAGTAGAAGCCCCTTCAGTTTGGCGTCCTGTACTGGCTTTTGCGGAACTAATCTCAGCGATCCCTGGAATGATGGTAGGCATAACTTTCATTTGTATATCGACTCCACCATAAGACCTCACAATCTCCATCTCCATCGGATCTGAAGGAACAGTAGCCTGAAGCTGAGGACTAGGTGGCTGAGTTGTAGCCATAGCTCCCTCCGGTGAGGAAGGGACAGAACTCTCAGGCAGGCTAGAAATGTCGGGGATCGTAGCTGTATCAGCCCCAAAGGCCGGTCCTACAATTAAAACTCCTATATGTTTGAGTAAAACATTGACAGATGAAGGAGAGCAATCTGTGAATCAGATGTATACTTGTAGGTGAACCACCCTCAGTGGATGGTTCTGCAGCTCCTCGATTGGCCTGTTCTGCCAACATATCATCGAACAATCTAGTATCAGATCTTGAGAAGCTCAACGCTGAAACAAATACGTGTTCGCTGAATCCTTCAGGATCCACACCATGAAATGCTTCCTCCTCGACCGGTCTTTCTAGTGCGGCATCTACACAAGAGCTTAAACATTGAGTAAAAGAGAAAGTGGCTAGAATTCATAATAGTAGGAATCTGATTCACCTCTAATAGTTGCAGAACGTTCTTTTACCCTAACATTCGTGCCCGCATCCTTCAATTTGTCTAAAAGTGAAAGAAGTGTGGAAACGATTAAAGGGGGAACAAGTTTTGAATTGCCTAACTCCTTTAATTGCCACTCGAATAGTGTACTACCGGTGTTAGATGTACCTAGGCTTAGAATCCTCAGTTCAACATTGCTACCCTGGCTAACACCCTCGCCTATCACGGCATGCACAGGATAATCGCCAATAGCATCACACATCTACTGCACGAAGCTCGGGCCTTCGAAATTGTTAAAGTTGGAGAAGATAGAGTCGTGCGGAAATTCATCCCCCCCATGACCCCCTAAAACACAAGACATGATTAAGTTCGAAGAATCCATAAGATAGCCAATTAGAGACTTCATGGTGGTAAGGGATTACCTTCTCCGCAAATGGGTACGTGGCCAAGTAACTCTGCCTGGCAAACGCACGAACCGACATATGACTTACTCACCGTCTTCTTCCACTTAGGGAAGCAAGCCTCCGTGTGGGTACTAGGTCTCTCGTGTTTGGATTTGGCACGTACCTCAACCCGTAGGGTAGACTCAGCGGAAGACCATAATCTCGCAGGACGGAGGATAAGAGGCCAGTCTTCTTCAACCATCCCACATGGGTAACAAGAGTCATCTTGTTAGGATAAGTAAACAAAACCTCTCGCCTCGGCTTTGATGGAGCCGGTGAAGGTTTAAGGAAAATAGAGCGCTGAACCCGACGAGCAAACGCCAGATTTAGTAATTCAGAGAAGAAAGAGTCTGATAGACCTGTCTCAACTTCTCCCTCATCGCCTCTAAGTCCGATATCCATATCTCAAAGGTCTTCTTCAGAAGTCTCCTCATCATTATCGGTAGGAAGGAGCTCCTCCTCATCCTCCACCCTATCTCTGCCTCTGTGTGAAAGTTTGATAGGCTTCTTCCCCTTTTCTTCAAAAGCTCAGCATCATGAGCGGTTTTAACAGTAGCTCGGACTAAATCTTCAGCCTCCAACTCTACGATGTCTCTCATATTTAGGAGCTCATTCGTAGAAATAAGCTACTTACAGCTGAGGAAGGTAAGTTGCGGCTTGTGCTTGGATACAGGGAGAGTGAAGGTGGCACCCGTGCAACCTGTCATAGTCCAAAGCCATGCTCGAAAACCATCTATAAGTCCTCCCTCGGTCCTCAAGCCTCAATTCGAGTTCCCAATATATAGTTGGTCATAACCGAACTGACGAGCGAACTGACAGGGTAAATATGGCTCTATGTGGCAACGACCCTTCACCCAAAGGATAAGGTCTCCGGGGCGGATGTTCACCAACCATCGGAAGCCACCCATATCAAGAGAGGTTCGACTAGTTCTTGGCTTCTCTTTATCAACCAATACCTCGTTGTAATGACCCGAGAAGTAAGGAAAACATTTGAAGAATTCCAAACCCTTATGGACTTGAAGCTCATGCTTGGCATCAGTAAAGTTCTTCGCAAACCATCTACTCTCCTCTAATGACTACAAGAGAGGCACTGATGTGTCTGTGAAGCCCGGTGCCGACATTAACTCGGGCCAATGAAGGACGAGCCATGTCATCATGTATGTATAGAGGAACTCAACCTTCACAAAAAGAATCTCCGTCAATAGGTCAGACCCTATATGTGTAAAGCTGTTGACCATATATCTGAGCCTAGAATGAATACCGATGACCATTGCCGGAATTAGAGAAAGGTCCTTCCCATGAGAAAGCTAAACAGCCAGGAATAGAACCTCAATTGACAAAGCGTCGGAAAACTGATACGTAACAACGCACTTATTCAACCAAATGGTGAGATACCCCGCCAGGAGAGTCATATGCCAGATACACTTCTGCGTATGCCACAAAAAGGACTAAAACTTGGTCCCTGCCAAAAAAGGATCCTCGACAGCTGAAGAAGTAAATGACTGGGTGCCAATCACTATAATAAAGTCATTAATCATTGAAGGAGTCAAAGGGCTAACTCACGAATGACTTCACCAGAACTACTCTCCAAGTGCTGAAACAAATAATCGGCAAATTGCTTCAAGCTTATTTGTGTCCTCTTCTTCGCCAGTGAACTTACGCTGATCAAGGCGGTGTGGTAATGACAAGTAAGATCGCAGAACGTGTCGTATATGTTGGAAGAGGCCCTCTTCGGCTGTCTCAGTTGCCAGTTCGAAGGAAAATACTCTTGGTACGGGGTGATCACCTATCGGTAGGCTAGAAACCTTTGGCATCTCATGAAGAGCCAACCCTAACTCTCCATTGAGGGTTAGGAAAGTGTTAGTATCAGGATTGTAAAGCTCTAACAATGCCTGGAAATGGTGTTTGCTGATCTGTAAGCCGTGCATGGTGGCGCATACTGGAACATACAATCCACTGGGCTTCAGTTCGTGCTCCCAGTGCCCGAGGACATAGCCCGTCATGCAAGTCCACCACTTCTTAGGAGGCAAGTGAACCTAACCAAAGCACCTGACGTCTCTCATGGGGAGTTTCCTGCCAAGTCTGGCAAGACGATTCCTCACTGTGCTAGCGGCTATCGACACTTCATCTGGTGGTGCCGTATCAAGCCCCAAAATTCCCGGTTGAAGACCACAAATATAGTTATACCCATCTAAGTTTGGAGTCCTGTGATGGGTAATGAAGCCATAATGAACCCGCTCATGATCATCTATAAGATGCCAAGGCATCTCTCGTCCTACGGCTTGCTTCTCCAAGTGTGCAAACAAGTACTGGCGATGAATGGAAGGGATATATAGGGGACTTCCTTCATCATCATTCAGCCAATCCTCATCATCAAGGGTCAACATATCCAGATCCTCTACATGATCACCAAACAAATAATCCGGCTTCTTAAGAGCTTGGGTGGATCTAGGATCTTTAGTAAGTGGAGCAACTGTGATCTGCTGGCGCAATGTATGATGAACCCCACTTTGTACTAGCTAATGAACCTTCGTAGGCCCATCTAGAGCAAACTAAGGAGTCAGGTCAATCAACGGTCCCATAACATTAGCAGCGAAGGTCTCTCCACTATTACCACTCATCGCATGAAGTGGGAAGCTACCCACCGGGAACTCAATTGAAACAAATAACACATAATCAGAAAGATTAATTCTAAGATTAAATAAGAAGTTGAACTCACCTGGCAAATTAGCCAAATAGGACCACTGTTTGGTCATATCGGCGAGATGATTTCAACTGTTTTACACAAGAGGGACAATGTACATGGTCGCGCAAGTAACGTGATAATATACCCCATCCTACAGGGTACAATACAGTATGAAATCACCCCGAATGCTTGAAGACGTGTATTGTCCAAGCAACACACGCCTCTCAAAGCTTCAATCCTCGCGAAGGAGGATATCAACTCTTCCCGATTGACTCACCAAGGTGACAAACGAGGGTGCAACATAACCTAAAATCATCCTGAATGCCTAAAGACGTGTATTGGCCAAGCAACTCATGCCTCTCAAAGCTTTAATCCCCGTGAAGGAGGATATCAGTTCTTCCCGATTGACTCGCTAAGGAGACAAACGTGGGTGCAATACACAGAATACCAAAAGTTATAAAGGCTCACCCCGTATGAAGAAACTACAGGAGCCTCCTTCTCATTATGTTGAGAAATGGAGCGACTCCTATGAAAGCGCGATCGTCATAGAGACATGGCTAACTTGTAATGAAAATCAACGAATTAGGTACAATCTCAAATTTAAAAACCCGAAATTAAAAAGGAAAATTATGAACTTTAACTTAAAAATCCTACAAATAAATTAGGATTTTACGGTTAATGTCTAATTAAACCTACGGGATCCATACATGCCAACAACGGGTTCAAATTACATTTAGGACCCTCATGATCAATTTTGGGCAAAATACCCGAAACACCCCTCATGCTCAAGGCTCAATGCTAGTCATGAGAACATTCAAAATTTGGCCATGTTTGAAGAGGGAAAACCAATCACCCTCAACACCAAAATTTTGGCCACTTTTGCATATAACCTCCTCTAGAGATTTTGGCCAATTTTGCATATAACTCCCTCTAAAATTTTGGCCATTAAACCCATCCTTCTCAAACTCAAAAAAAATGAGCAAAATACATCATCATTCCTCATTGAAAATTTCGGCCATGGGTATGTAACCCAAGCCCACAAAATTTTGGCTACATCATCATCCGCCATTCACAAAATTTTGGCCATGCATACAACCCAAGCTCATCAAAATTTCAGATAAACCCATCTTCCTCATACCCAAAATTCGGCCATCAAACTCAAAACCAAACTAAAGTTTCAATCTTTACCTCAAAACCAAGAACAAGGGTCCAAATCACTCTCTTGAATCAAATCAAACATACAAGAAAGAGATTATGGAGAGGAGCTTACCCAAATCAAGAGCTTGAACCCAAGAAGCTTTAGAACCCAACACAAATCATGTCTTGAACTCAAGAATTCAACAATCCCTAACTCTTGAGGGATGACAAATTTCGGCCAAGTAAAGAGAGGGGAAGAAGATGAAGATTTGAGGGGTTCTAAATGATTGGAATTTAGGGGGATTAAGAATTCTTAAAGAGGGAAAGTTATGGATTTGGAGGAGTTCTAAAAGAAGGAAATTGAGAAAGAAGTAGAGAACAAGAGGGAGTTCAAATTTTGATGAAAGGGGGAACACAACAAGGACAAAGTACAAAACCCTCTTCTTTTCTCTCTCCTAGGGCCGGCCACCCTCTCTCTCTCTCCTCTCTCTCGTATTCACTTTCTCTCTCCCTTATCTTCTTTCTCTCTCATGAACCCTCTCCCTCTCTTGCTTGGCCGAGACTGTCTCGGCCAAGCCGAGACTGTCTCGGCCNCGAGACTGTCTTGAGCCTATGATTTTGTCCCGAACTTAAGATACTGTCCTAAGCCCAAGATTTTGTCCCGAGCCAAGATTCTGTCGTGAGTCCAAGATTCTATCTCAAGCCCAAAATTCTCTCCCGAGCCCAAAATAGGGTCCCACGCATTTAAAATGTTGTATTTGGTCCGTATTCACCTGTTATTGGCTATTGTGGTGTATTCAAAGCTCGTATTCACACTCCGATAAGTATACGAGTCTAAACTGCATCTCCTTGAACCTCTGACGGGTACACGAGGTTAAAC